TCCCCTGCTGGGTATCTTCCCCAAAGAATTAAAAGAATCATACCACAGTGATATATGTGCACCCATGTTTATAGCCGCACAGTTTGTAATAGCTAAAGCTTGGAAACAGCCCAAGTGCCCATCAACTGGATACTGGATAAAGAAGATGTGGGGTTTTTTTTATTAAATGGAGTACTACTCAGCCATAAAGAAAAACTAGAGACATTTATAGCTAAATGGATGTATACTGAGGCCATCCTTTTAAGTGAAATAAATAGGACACTTACGTGTAAACACCGAAGTTTCTCTAGTGTGAGAAACTGAAAGTGTAAGTAAGGATTAAAATTAATAATTGATAATTTAAAATAGGAAGAAAAGGTGGAAAGGGGTAGGGGAAGTGGAAGGGAAAGGGGAAAGGAAAGAAGGGAAAGGAAAAATTATGAAAAAAGAAATAAATGTAAACAAAGTCTATGTAAATAGGGAAGGGTCGAGGGGGTGAAGGGTGCACAGGTAATGGGGAAAAAATAAGAACCAAGATGCATCATGTACAAGTACAAGCACCCAATGATAAATGTAAATCTATTGTTTACCTAAAATGTATCAATAAAAGAATTTAAGGGAAAAAAAAGATAAATATATTATAGTAAATTCTTTCCCAAACAAGTGGAATGAATGGCAAGTGGAAGAAGTTATCACCAGAATAAATGTTTGATACCTGAAGCTGAACTCATAAATGGAATAGATCATTCACAATTTCGGTATGGAAATGTATATCCACAGGTGCAAAAGAGAATTCCATTTATTTTTATCTTTTATTTTTATCTTAATATAATACTAGTAGATATTAATGAAAGTATAAAAGCTGTTCCATAAAAAATAATTTTTCATCACAAAATAGAGAATAGCAATAGTAAATACACTATCACGATCTTAAAAAATATATTTTCATTTGCTAATCTCTCAGTTCATTTTCTAATACTATTCCTTTTTTGCATAAAACATTTTAATTATTAGCAAAGCATAATTTTGAATAACTTCTTCCTATTTCACAATATCTATTATACTTTTTGCCTAATTGGAAGAAAGATAAATAATGACAGATAATGCTGAAAATGTTTTATAGGACATAAAGAACAAGATTGGGAAATGTAAGCAGAACAAACATGTTAAAATCTCCAAAAATTTAAACTAAGCAGGGCAAATAAAGGATTGTCAACATAAGCATATATTAGTAGATATATATTTCTATGTATATGAAATATTTTCATAAATTAAAGGCAGAAATATATAGGCTTAACTCTCATATCGCCTATCAGAAAAATTGACAAAGGATCAACAGTGAGATGTGTCTTATTCAAATATGAAGAAAATCTTCTGGGACTTAAAAATATCAAACAATGCATGAGTTGAAAGTAATAGCATGTTCTCAGCCATCTACAAAATAATGGTCAATACTAAAAGGGAGTAGAGTAATGAAAATTTAGAGAGTGTGTCCCACAAGCTCTGTGAATAAGGTAATTGTCACTCACCTTTAAAGACACAGAGTATGCTATCCTCAGGAGATTTTTTAAAGAAATAAAAAGTTAAAAACAAAAACTAACAAAAAGATAAATTGAAAAGTTGAATAGGTTAGTGATGATTTATTCCATTTATCTGATATATTAAAACAGATGTGAAGATTTATTCACAGGGGAAAGAAGAAAAAATATATGTGTTATAAACATTAACACAAAAGTGATAGTACTTAAAAAATGACAGGGAATAAATATTAATGTCTATGTTGAGTTCATCATCCTTCATAGATGAGGGTCAAAAATAATTTATATCTGAGAAACAGTTTAGATTTGAAAATATTTTAAATTATTTTCAAACCATTTGAAGTTATAAGCAATAAGATAAATAATAACAGCAATTAAGTTGTACAGCACAGAACTGGGATTAGAGAATGTTAAAAATGTAAATATGCTGAACATTTTCAAAACAGCCTGAAGCATCAGAAAGGAATTTAAAAGTCAAAGGACAAACTATACAAATATATGCAACGTATATCACCTATCACTAATAAAGAACTTCTAAAAGTGCTAGAAATAATATTAACATTTCAAAAAATTAGACAATCATATGAAAATTACACAGAAAATCCAGAATATAGGAAATTCTATAGAACAAATGATTTGTTTCCTCAATGAATAAATTGCAGGAAAACAAAAGGGTGAGAAGAACTATTATGAATTGAAAGATGCTTCAGAGCTATATAAACCAAATGCAGTGTGCTTACATTTTAAAAACGTAATTAAAAAACAGTGAAAAAGACATTTATAAAACATTGGAGATATTGTAATATTGATTGACTATCAAATATTAAGGAGTTGGTAATTTTAGTGGGTGTGATGATAATACTGTAGATTTTATTTTTCAAGGTCTGTTAGAGAAGCATACTGAATTATTGAAGGGTGAATTGATGTAATATCTGGCTGGGATTTGTTTTAAAGTATCCCATTAAAATTCTAGAAAAAAAAAGTGATAGAAGAAGCAAAGATGATAATCATCTTTGGATCCAGGAAATGAGCCTATGCGAATTCATTACACCATTCTCTCTACTTCTGTATAAGTCTGGAGATTTTAGTGTATACATCTGAATGAGCTTTTTCTACTAGTCCTATATGCCAGTGTGATTACCGGTCTCTAGAGAACAGATAAATGAAAAGCATCACAATGACTTCAGTTAACACTGACATGTAATTCCCCTTACATTCTTTCAATGATATTGTTTTAAAACTAAAGCTTTAAAATGAGCCATATAAAAAGTACATGTGACAGCTTTGGATCTTGAGCTAACTGGATAATTCTAAACTGACTGGTGAGTTCAATTAAACTGATTTCTTAGGGATTTTGGCTGACATATATGAAGCATATTCCAATTTTGTTGATGAAATTATTGGTTATTTAGGGAGAGGAGAGGCAGCATACACATGCTGTAGATCGAATCATGAGAAAAATATATAAGGGAGGAATACAAGCATCGCTTCATCTGGCTGCTCTGAAGCACCCTTTGCAGCACCTCATAACTAATCCACTCTCTCCCCACCAACTCATGAAGAAGAGTGCTTCTATTTCATTCACAAATCTTGCTATGGTGTTCACAATTCCTTGAAATGCTCCACTGACCATTTCAGTTTAAAAAAAAAACAAAATGTCTCCAGACAACACAAAATTTAAGACAAAGGGGAAAATCCTAACAGGCAATTCAGTCAGGAAAAAAAATAATAATGCACGGTGAATGACCAGATTTTCATTAAGGTAGGTCAAGGGTTCCCAGCACCATTAAAGGTGCTGAACATGAAATCTGCCTTCAAGACTAAGTCGACTGAGACCATAGAGGATATGCTTGACTTACTCAGTAATGCTGGCTGCAACCACTTTTCACACTGCTAAGCAAAATCTATACTCCAAAGCAAAGATCTGCTTCATACAATAATTCAACCCTCCCATTGAGGAAAATATACTCAGGACCTCCAACTGACACTGCTTTATTAGCTTAGTTTTAATTGTTTAAGAACCTAGAACATAACGAGACTTCTCCCTCTAGCTTGCCTCCTTCTAAGCTGCTGATGTTTTCACCGCTTTAATAACAGAAAATAATCAAATATTCAATGTGCATAATATAGCTCTAGGTTTCTATACCACACTGCAAAGCATGACAACAGAGAATTATGGATATCAGTGCTTACCTATTCAAATAAAGCCCAAAGACATAATGGCAGATTTAATATGATTAAATGATTATAACCTTTAATAGGATTTTCATCTCATTGATAGTATAACTTCAGAAACCATTTCAAGTCTAGTGTCCATTGCAACAGTAGTATGCTGAACAGAAGAATTCAGAAGTCTGAAGTTCGCATTTGTCATTTCAGCATTTCCACCTATCTTCAATCATTTTCATCTAGTGGTGATTTTGTCCTGGATATGCTGATCTACTTCTTATATTTGCAATGCCTTATGCCATTTTCATGAATTCCTGGTGTCCTTGTCATGTTACTTTTCATTATGCAATCTTCCCCCAAGGTAAACAGACTGTCACACTTTCCTGCAGCTCACAGAATACTCTGTTCCTCCATGATGCATGAAGGATACACCTTACGTATGCACACACACAAGCATGCACACAGTTATGGCAACCTGACACACACTTGCACATATGTTCAGGAAATGTGCATTTCAAATCACTGAGCTCCTTGGCCTACCTCTCCTGGATGCTAGTTACATGCTGCTGTGGCATAGCGTCCTCACTGATCACAGGCAGCTTTCTTCCTTCCCCACACAGCTTGTGCTCTCTCAGCTTATCCTTAACTTCCACTCCAGAAAGGTCACCTCAGATCTAATCACAGGCCAGATTCTCCTCCTGCTCTGGACCTGTAACTAGTTAGCATCTCAGTTCTGCCACCTGAAAAACAGCATATTTAAATTACTATGAGGGTAAGGACCATATTTTACTCATCAATGGATAACCAACTCCTTTCAGTACACATGGGTCAATGTCAAGTTTGAAACCAATTTTTCATTTTTAGCCTCACTGGGTCCTTTATCTAGCTTTGAGCTCTTGCCCACCTCTCTTCCTCATCCATTTTCAATGGAGGCTTTTCTAATGAGGAAGAAAATGTGATTACCTGGCCTCATACATACTACATTGCAAATTTAATGTCACCTTTCAGAGGGTCTTTGTATGTTTTCCAAGATGGCAGAAAATAATTGTGAAGTCTCAGTCACCAGCAATCATTATTTAGGTTTGGAGGGAGCAGCCCCCTGAAGAGCCCCAGATCTCATGTCCACCTAGGCCTCACCCTTCTTTGTGACGTCATGGCCACACCTGTGGTCCACCTCCACAAACAACTGTCCTAAGCCTGACAAATTATATCTTCCCTGGACTTTGTCTGTCCACGAGGTTAAATGGTTTTCCTTCTGGCTTCGTGTCAGATCCCAAAGAGTGAATGGGATCTTGCCATTCTCTCATTTTGATTTCCCTGAAGGTGCTCTGCCCGCTTCACCCCTGACATTTACCTACAAAAGTCAAACGCATGGCCAGAGACCTCTTCCTGAGACTTTACTTCCCACACCTAGGAATACTTACCCCAAGTGCTCAAAATCCAGCCAGGGCAGTTCTAATTGCCTTATGAGTGGGATTTAATGTAATCCATACCTCTACAGTTACTGGAATGATGACTAACATTTTATATTTAATCCACACTTGCATTCTTACCAACACAAAGAACATCCTTCTTCCAAGAGTCTTAAAGAATAAGGAAAATGTATTATTCTAATGAAATAAGCCCTAAGGCTGAGTTGATTCCAGGCAATGTAAAATGAGGACATGCAGGTAGATGTAAGAATGAGAAGTCAAGGCCCCTGGAATTTTCTTGAAACTTCCTGACTACCAGAGGTAACCCCCACAAATTCCTCAACTTACACATTTCAGTGACTTCACCTGGGGTTATAGACCCACAATGGTATGCAGATTCTTCCTAGCACCCACCCATCTCCTGCTCCATTCCCTAAATAGAAGCATAAGGTCTGGTTCTAGAGATAACCAAGCATCTTGCCAATTTCTAGGTAGGAATGTGGGTATATGTACGAATGGGCACTCTAAGGAAGAGGAACTGTTAAAATCTGCCCATATTCATATTAATCACGGGTGTGCTTGCACAGGATACAGTATTTAACATCAGCTTGAGCATTTGAAAGTAGCATTAAAATAATGTGCAATGTTATTTAATGAACTGTGAATTCCACAGTCCTCAGGCAACAAGGACTGAGAGGCAGAATTTCCCTGGCAATGTTAAGGAACCTGAAAGCTCTGAGAAGTAGAAACTTTGAGGCATATGCCTGTTGTCTTAGTCTCATTATTAATAATGTCCCCTCTCATTCTCCACAGAGTCCTGGTTTGGGGTGATGAGTCACCTGTTGGGCCACCTTTTACCCAGGCCACCTTCAGGGCTCCAGAAGACATCTCCTTCCCCAAGGCCTTAAGAAATGCCTTGGGGCAGAGAATATCAGCACAGCTGCACAGCCCTGGGGTTGCTCTTCTCTGTCCAATAGAGATGACAGTGGGAAATACTGGGATTGAACTGGGTTCCCTGATCTCAATGGGACTTTTGAGGGAAGAGAGTGGCAGAGCCAATGAGGATACTTAACCATTAAAAAACAACCATCTCTATTTTTTGTAGTGCTTGATATTTATTGAAAAGAATGCCAATGCTTTTTCCAGGCAGTATTGAGGAGCTGGGTTGAGTGCCTGCTTCTGCTTATTTGCTTCATTGTTTTTATCATCATTCGTCCAAACACAAACATCTGTGTAAGACTGCTGTGATTTTGAAAGACAACAGCCGTGCAAAACCGGTCCATTAGAGAAAAGAAATGTCAGTATCTTGGCTGCCAGGCACACCAGGCTCCTGCAGCAATCCCTGTAGGGCAGGGAAGGAACCTGGGAGTCAGCAGACAACTAACCAGCTTGTAAGACTGGCCCTTTCAGGAACTGGTGAGCTGTCCAAATCAGTCTGAAGAGGTGTAGCCAACTCAGGCATCTTCTATGTTGGTCCTTATCTACAAAAGCAGTGGTCTGTCGGTGGGATGGAGTAGATGGTGGTAAAGTGGCATCATAGGCAGATGTAGGCCTGGCAGGCAGATGGGTGGCAGCAGCAGGACTGTGGGTGGTCAGCACAGTTTTAACAGGGGCCTGGCCAATAACTGGGATTCAGAGCACAGTTCAGAGTAGCAGGGGAAGGGGACTGGGGCTGGCCAGAGTTGACACAGCAAGCTTCTCAGCAAGGCCCAGCCCCAGTCCTAGCAGCAGGTGACTGGAGAGCTATTCCTGGAACAAAGACAAACGCTACAGGGGATGGAGGAGAGAACAGGGGGGCGGAGAAGGGGATACAGCAGAGAGAAGGGGACTGAACGCTGCAGCTCCGGGAGTGGCAGGGGGCAGGTGGGGGAGGCGGCGTGCAGGTCCCTCCCCCTCGAGGCCTAGTAATCATCCTCTTCCTCGTCCTCGTCGTCTTCCTCGTCATCCCAGCCAAAACACCGTTTCATCTCATCGACAAAGGCCCGGTAATCGCCTAGGATGGGGCTATCCATCTCCATGTAGGACACCACCCACTCCTCGGCTTCCCCAGTGAGCAGGCTGATTAGGAATGCCACTTTCATGGCGTCGTTGCAGAATCGGTTTTCATTCACGAGCATGTAAGACGCCGTCTGCACGATAAACTCGGGGAGCCGGGCTCTCTCGCCGTTAAACGTTTCGGGGAAGGGCACGGGGCAGCTGGGCGGACGTACCTGGCGCAAAAGACTGGCCCTCTCGCACACCAGCAGCCGCAGCTGCTCCATGAGCTGGCTGTTCTCGATGCACAGGGCGCGGTGCCGCACCAGGAGCGCGTGGAGCAGCAGCACCAGCTCATCCACCATCGCGACCTGTTTGGAAGGGCTGGGGTCCTCGGTTGGGTTCGGCCAAAGGGCACACTGAGGCCTTGCAGGAAATGCGCGTCCTTGGAGGCGCTTGGTGGCCGAGGCGGGGGAAGAGGGTTGGGTGCGGGAGACTGTGCGAGCTCCGCCCACAAGGCCCCTGGGGCGGTCAGTGCGCCGGCGTGGCGCGGTGGGGAGGGTGTGTCCAGGGGAGGAGCGGAGGAGTGTGGGGGCGTAGCCAGGGTGGCGCGGATCTGGTACAGACGCAGCCAGGGAGGCCTTGCCCAGGGAAGGGACCAGCACTGTCGCAGAGCCCAGGGACTGGTCATTCAGGAGGTTGCCAGATAGGGCTGGGAAGGGCGGCAGAGTCGGAGATGTGGGCAGAGGGCTGAACGAGCGCCGTGCCTCATCTGTCAGAGACTGCCAACCTGCCCAGGCTGAAACCCTACTCCCGGGGCGGGCGGACTCCAATGACGCAGTGCTCTTTTGTGAGTCTGTGGTCACCATCACCAGATTGCTTTGGCAGGGTGTTTTATTAACACTTTCCCTTCCCTATTTAAATCTCAAACAGAGAAATATTGACACTGCTGGCCGCACCGCAGGAGTTCACATCCGTTCAGAATCGCGAAGACCCTCTTGGGACCTGTCTTTCAAGACAAAGCAACATTAATGATACTTTTCTTTAAAACAAACAAACAAACAAAAAAACAATAGTTTCAACATAATAAGTTCTGCAAAGTTAGCACCCAATAACCATTTGCAGGGTTCTTATCTTTGACTCTATTTCATATTGATGTTAGTGCCCTTATTTCTGGTTAATATTCCTTGGATAACAGTGGATAAAGCTTTAAGAGGTTTGTGTTTTTAAATAATTTTGTTTTTCAATTTTGAAATGTGATATTGAAGTAGTTGACAACCTTAGAGCCAGCATACACTGGTGGCTTTGCTTTTAAAATAGATCCCCGAATTCGATCACTTGTTGTCAAGTCCTCCACTCCTACCCTGATCCCAGTCTCCCTTTCCCTCCCAGATTGCTGTCAATAGTCCTTACCTTTTACTCTCCTCTTCCTAGAGTACATTCTCCAGAGAAGTGACAGGACTCTTTCCAAAGGAAAGTGAGATCCGTCACGCCCCTGCTCAAAACCCTCCAAGTTTCCCCTCTCACTCAGAAAGAAATTAAAAAACAAAAGCAAACTGCTGGTCGCAGCCTGCAAAAGACCCAGCTTCTCCTCTGCCTCTGCTCTTCATGTGCCCTGTTCAGCTCCACTGACGCTTCCTTCCTGGCTGACTCTCACAGTGCAGTTCTGATCTCAGAACAGTTGCACTTTCTAATTCTTCTGCCTTCCAAGGCTCTCTCTCTCCGATTGGCTGCTTGACTCAGTTTCCTTTTTCTTTCAGAGAGGGCTTCTTTGACCACCTCATCTGTCATAACACTGTACTCTGCTGGCAGTCTCTTGTCCCTTACCTCACTCCGTTTGTCTACACAGGGTCATCATAGGTGCAGCTGTTATATCATACAGCACTTTGGTCACCATCTGCCTCCACATTAGAATGTAAGTCCATGCAGTGAAAGGACTTCATTTTGCCACCTGCCCTTTCCCTAATGGCTCTAAAAATGCCAGGCCCAAGTAGGGGCTCCATAAATATTTGCTGAAAAAAATGCAGCAATCTCAGGGTACAAGTGTTGAGATCAAATTTAGAAATGGTAGGTGCGAAAAGTGTACAAAATATTTAAATTGTCCAATATGGTTTTTCTTTGTTTATGAACCAGTCTCCAATGTGAAATGATTACTAATAGAATCAAAATGGCAAAATAATTTTTAAAGCAATCTTATTCACTCTTTATACTAGAATTGAGTGATCGTCCGTGTAAGTGTGTAAGTGGGAGACTGGGAGAGAGGAGAGAAACAGAGCCTTAAGCCAAGTCGAGAGAGAAGAAGAAATAACACCGATGACAGGGTAGAGGTGGAAAAAGAAGAGGAAGGAAGAATGTGAGCTCTCGAGGAAGCAAAGATCCATTCTCACTTCTACTTTCATCTTTGGCATCTGTAAATGTTTACCTCGAGCTCCATCAGTGTCCGGTGGCTGGGAAGAAAGAGAGGCAAGGGGAATATCAGAAATATGTGTCTGGTCACTGTGCCCATTCGCAGCCCAGGGTGTGTGTGTGGGGGGGTCCTGGCTGGGGCAGAAATAGTGTCTAGCACCACCTTTCCTAATATAGGAAGAGATGTCAGGATGATTGATCTAGACTGTTGCACACTCATACGTGAACAGGGGTGTACACTCGGCAGCCTGAGACCACACAGTCAAGTACTTGCCTAAAACCAGGAAAGCCATTGGTTGGCAGAGCTATACCATAATACCAGCCATTCTGACTCTAGTTTGCATGCCCGTCCACAGAACAATTAGTATGTCCTGACTCTCATGAGTCTAGTTCCAGGCAGCGCTGGTGGGAAATCAAATATGATTAGGCAGATGTTTCTCTAGCCTACTCCTATTGCCCCACCGTAGAGGGAGTCAGGATGGAAACCTAATGAGGCAAACATGAGTATCCGTTGAGTGAACATCATGTTCCTGGAAGACAAGAAATTGCCTGCTCAGAAGTGCCCAGAGCAGAATAGGGACTTTGTGGGGGTCTATCCCAGCTTGAAGGGGGGCAGTGAAGGCAGGCGCCTTATCACTGGCTCACAGAGGAAGCAGCTGGGAAGAGGAACTGAACATAGTGAATCCTAATGTTCATGCTAACCAGCTTCCAGGTGTCTGTGTAGCTTTCCCACCAATGGCAAGGCCCACCAGCCCTTCTTTCTCCCTCTACCCTACTTTGCCTTCCTCATTCCCCTTCCTCCTCTTATGTGACCCTTGAATGTTCCTTTACACCTGTGGAAAGATGCTGGGGGCAAAGCCAAGTACTCCCTGTCACTCGCCTCTGGATCATTAACTTCATCAGGATAGCTAGGACTCAGAGTAGCCGGAGAATGGCTTGAACCTCAGCATGGGGCAGGAGGAGAGGCCCAAGGCTAAAGAGTGGTCCCTGGTGCAAATCACTGTCACCATCCTCCATGCTTTAAACCCTGTCCTGCTACACAGCTAGCAGCCAGCCTGCAAAATTCCCTTGAAATACATGGAAAATGTCAATTAATTTTTCAGCCACCAGAAGGGCACACACAGCGTACCTGGCACAGGAATATGCATCCAGGAGCAGAAAGTAGCTTCAGAGAGGACACCTGTAAGAGAGGTAGATGGATGCCACCAAGATGCAGACGCATACTCATCTCACCCTCCTTCTTAACCAGGTGCAGCTGAAACTGCTTTTTCCAGGAGCCCAATCTGAGAGGCTGTAGAGGCCTCTGGCTAAGAGAAAGGAATAAGGCAGGACAGCTTGGTCCTTCCTGTCTTTCACTCCCCAGCTTTCTAAAGCGCTCTACAAAATCGACATGTTTTACTAAAGCAAATTAGTATATTCTTGTTGTTTACAGATATTATAGTAAATAATACTGGTGTGTTAAAAAAAGATCAGCACTTCTTATCATCCGCACACAAAAATATCACTTAGCAAAATTGTCAAAAATTGAAAACTCTAAATTTGCGTTCTTTCTCTTGCTCTCTCTCTCCCCCAGGAAATAGGATCCCCAGAGCTATCCGTTGCCAGCAAGACTGCATAATATTCTACCTAAATTTCTCAGGAACACTCTCTGCCTCATAACTAAAGGGACTCCCTCTATGTTCACTTTCTCAGACAATACAAGACATGTGTGATCCAATTAAAAGCATAGTCCCAAAGATAAATATTTTGAAATTATATTTCTATGACTGAATTACATTTTCTATGAATTAATGTGTTATATTGGATAATTTGTATTTTTCATGTATATGTTTCTGTATTGCTCTAATGTAGAATTTATTGCTTGCAGTATATTGCACTAGAATTGTCCTTATTTTTTCTTGCCTGGTTATTGTAATATAATTAGTCACAGTCATTTTACAGGAGCTTATACACTTAGTTTGTTTCTATCACTTCCATATATTTCTGAAAACATCTGGCAGCATGCTAAATCAGTTCTTATAGGTATTAAGAGAATAGTCTTGATAACCTGTGTCCGCTTGTTTGTTTGAAATGTTTAATAGATCTCTTTCAAACTGCTTAACTTAATCTAGACTGTTTTCCATGAGGCAGAATGGTGTGGTAAACTGAAGGTAACTACAAATTATTTGCACTCAGCAAAGAGGTAGAAACAATTTTTCCTCTCCTGTGATTTGATTTGACAGGTAGAATATAATGAAGTACCTTAAAATATATGAAGCAAAGCCTCGAACACCTGAATCCTTCCTTTCCCACATGGCGTGGTCCCTGCAGGGAGACAGTCACCATATTAGAAAGAAGTCTACATACCTTGAGCTCAAGCTACCCATATAGAGCAAGGAAGATCATATGAAGGAGCAGCAAACGAGCCAACAGGCAGGAGATCGAAGCTCACTTCCTAGACTCTGCAGCCCAGTAGAGCCTCTACTTGAATGTAGCTGAGAGAATGACTCTAGGTGGCTACATATAAACCAAAAATAACCATCCTGCCTAAATGAATTTCTGATCCACAGAATCATGGGCAAATAAAATGGCAGTTGCTTTTAAACCACAAAGTTTAGGCATGATTTGTTACATTGTAGTAGAGCCTGCTTGAAACATAGCTAAATTGAAGGTATGCTGCCAACAAAAGCATGGACCCCCTTTCAAAAGAATTGATGTGTTGTTTTGAAACTATAGTCCTTTTCCATTTTCTTAGATCCTGCTATTTTTCTGTTTGACATTCATTAATTACAGGGTGAAGCTATTGGTCGAAGTTCTTTAACTCTCCCCTTTGACCCCAAGCTTATATTCTTAAACCGCTTCTTTTATCTCATTCTCACACACCCAACCAAGATTTTCCTGACTTTAAATCAACTGAGACCCAGACACAAGATAGTTAGTGGTATCCTCTATGCCCTAAAGCCTAGTGGAATTATTTAAACCAACTAAGCCTATAAAATTTACTATGCCTCATCTTGCCTGTCCCATACAGACGCCAATAAAGAGTGGTCTAGAGCTTCCTCACCTGCTTTCCACCTTCTAAATAAAACTCAATGCTTCTCCATGTAGCCTTGCAGGGCATAGTATGTCCACTCCTCTG